GAGGAGGATGACGGAAGTGGTGGGTCAGAAGAATGGTCGGGGTTAGTTGGCGGCGGAGAGGAGGTGGAAGAGGCAGGCGTGGGGACGATGGTTGGTGCCGTTCGAGAGGCACAGTTAATGCGAAGATGTCCAACACGTCCGATTCGAGCCCGGAATGTCCGTTGACATCGAGGACACGTTGGAAGCGGTTGTGCGGCAGCGTTGCTGACTGGGCGAAGTTGTGATTTGCAGGCTTCACGTTTCACTTTGGCGGCAGCAATGCGGTTGGCTTCGTAGATCGCAGCGCCTGTCTTCACTGTCCTCCTCCAGGTCGGTCGATGGAGTGCGAGCTCCTCCCAGTTGGTGGGGTTGATTTGCAGGCATTTCAGGGAGGATTTCAGGGTATCCTTGTAACGGCGAATCTGTCCTTCTCGACGGCGAGAACCCGTCGCGACTTCTCCGTAGAAGAGTCCTTTGGGTAGTCGCTCGTCGTCCATGCGCACCAGGTGGCCGCTCCAGCGCAGCTGCATTTGCCTCAGTATGGCGTAGATGCTGAGGATTCCGTTCCAGCACATAAGTGTCGGGGATTCGATCCTGCCACTTTAGCCTCAGGATGCGACGAAGACAACTGAGGTGGAAGTGGTTCAAACTACGTGCCTGCTTTGCGTACACCGTCCAAGTCTCCGCTCCATACAGTAGTGTCGGCAGGATGACGGCCTTGTACATCTTCAGCTTCGTGCTCAGCTGAAGACCGTGACGATTCCAAACTGTGCTTTGGAGGCGACCGAAGGCTTGACTGGCTTTCTAGATCGTGTTGGCGACTTCGTCATCGATCTTGGTGTTGGGGGCGAGGGTACTGCCCAGGTACGGGAAGTTCTCCACCACTTGCAGTTGGGTTCCGTTCACGCTGATTTGCGGCGGCGCGTTGGGGGCAGTGGCTGAGTTGGGTGGCGGTTGGTGCATCACCACCGTCTTCTGCGTGTTAATGACCAGACCGAAGTTCTCGCAGGCGGCGGAGAACAGGTTCATGCTCCGTTGCATCTCCTCTTCCGGTGCACGGCCCTGATGGTCTCCTGGGGAGATGGCGGGAGGTCGAGGTCCACGTTGGTCTCCACTTGCGGCGAGCGGGCGATGGCGGCGTCGGAGATGACGGAAGGGCGGTTGAGGACGCCTCGGATCTGCTCGGCCCATCGCTGTAGGATTTGCGTCTTCTCAGTCAGGAGAGCGCTGCCGTCGGCGCGAGGAGAGGAGCAGTGCCCTTCGTCGGCGGACCGTAGACACCTTTGATTGCAGAGAAGAAGTTCTTCTACTCGTTCCGATCCGCGTAGCCTTGGATCTCGTCAGCTTTGCAAGCAGTCCGGGCGTCCTGCATCTCGCGCAGTCGTTGCTGAAGCTGGCGGCGACTGCGGTAGAAGGAAGCTTGTTGTCCTCATTGGGGTGATCTACGTAGGCTTTGTGTAGGCGGTTCTTCTCGGCGAGCACATTTCTGATGGCGGCGTCGTTGTCGTCGAACCAGTCCTGGTGTTGGCGGGGAGCGCGTCCAAGGACGGCGTGCGCCGTCGACTGGACCGTGTCTCGCAGTTGACACCAGCTTTGCATATAGTAAGATGATGATGGCTATGAAAAAACAATGTTTTCATACTTACAGTGACTGAGAACGCACACTAGGGATGTCCCCAATACTTTTACCTATCACCCGGTACAGTGTTCGGTATGCGAATCCAGGATCTCTGACAGAAATATTGCTATTTTTATTCCACCTCTGTAGGTTGGACTGGATTAATAAATATTCAGCTTTTCAACCTCCTCAGAAAGCAATAGTTAACATGGAGTAAATCAGTCGGATTAAAGCCTTATAGGCTCATTTTGAAAGTTGCTATGACTGTTTGAGACGAAATGAGTAAGCTACACCGAGATAACCGCGTAATATTCATGAGCTACTAGCGGTCATTCTCTAGTTTACAAACGTGTTCCGACGCACCCCTCGCAGCTGTGTCATGCAGCGGCAGAATATTGGCAAAACAGTTGTCTGGGGGTTTACCTAATATCTGTGGTTTTCAGTATGATAAATCAAGCTGAATTAAGCAATGGTGAAACTAACTATAAACTGTTTCGGCCGATAAACCAACAGAAAATTGTTACAGAGATAGTAATTTAAGTAAGGCACTATCAGTTATTGTACGGCTCCTACCATACCTTGCAGGCGTCGAAAATCCCCAAGAGTGTCTATCACTTTACAAAATACCAAACAAACTCCCATTACTCAGCGGCCATTCGTTGAAATTTAAGAGAAGTCGTCGGAGTATGTTAATTTTGAAAGACCTAATGCTTGCCAAATGATGAAGCAATACAGGATCACAATTTGTCACACAAAACTGAAAATAATGCTGAACATCAGAAACTACTAAATTCACCGATGGCACAGTAGCATCGATAGCAAGGCAGAGAAGTGTATCCTAATTTGTGAGTGTAATCAAGGTCCCGTATTACTTTCATTTTAAGGCCGAATATTAGCTGACGGCGAATGGGTTCTCATTATCCCCGTTTTTTCCTTTTGTAAACTCACATAAATCGAGGTGGATTTGATAGGGCATGCCGCAAAATGTGCTGTAATTTGTGGATGATGTCAAGATCACTCTATTATCGTCATTTTGTGGTCACTCCAATTGTCGAAAATTATTTGCTGGCCGTTTTGCGTCTCAATAGGCTCGTTTTTCCTTTTGTAAATATTTAAAATAGACCTTATTTGCATTGCCACAGATCTGTTGCACAGGCGCTGATAGCTGGCAACACCGTGGCCCCAGAAGCCTTCGACGAGGTCACCATCTATTTCAGTGACATCGTTGGCTTCACAGCAATTTCAGCCTGGTCTACACCTCTGCAAATTGTTGGTCTACTCAATGCGCTCTATTCCACCTTCGACTCAATAATTGCGAAATTTGACGTCTACAAGGTACCGGCATAGAGATCAGACGTATGTATTAGTTCCCTTCCTTCTTGCAATTAGATGTTACCGCCGACACAGACGTCCTGGTTCAAAAATTCAACAATGCACACCCCTCGCCAACGTTCTCTGCAGAGTTTGAGGCAGACAATGAAATCGCGTTCCTCGATATTCTTCTGCACCGACAAGAGAATGGGTCTATCCAACGTAGGGTATTCCGAAAGAAAACCTGGACCGGACAATACATTAATTTTCACAGTGTTGTTCCCCTAAATATTAAACGTAATTTGGTCCATGGATTGGCAGCTAGAGTGCGACATATCTGCTCTCCTGAGACTGTTGAGGCTAAACTTCAGTGGTTGCGGGATATATTCCACAAAAACGGATACCCAGAAAGATTTATCCTCCGAAATATAGGGGAGCGCACTGCAAAGCCCACCATGGCGACTGCAGAAAAGAAGGACTTATTTATAAGACTGCCTTTTCAAGGGGATGCAGCAAGTGACCTAGTAAGAAGACGTCCGAAGACAGCGACCGCTAGCGCTTTCCCCGCGGCGAACTTACATGTATGTTTCAAAAACTCTCCCCTCCTACCCTTGGGAGGCAAAGACCGACTCCCGTTGCTGGCCACATCGATGTGTATTTACTCATTCACTTTCTCCTGTGGAGCGGTATACATTGGCCGTACAACGAGGCGCCTGGAAAAGAGAGTACGTGAACACATACTGGCCTGGCTAGGCAGAGGTGAAAAGAAATCGATCTCGAGTTCTATCCTCGCACATCTTGTCAATACGAATCACCGAGCCGATGCCAAATAAGACCTTCAGGTTGTCTACCGGACACCAGCATGCTTCCCCAGAGGCCTACGCCAACGGGTGTTAGCTACAGCCGAAGCAGTGGCTATACGGCTAGCCAATCCACTGCTATGCTGTCAGAAGACTCTGACACAGGCGCTCTGTCTTCCGTGGCCAACGCCGACCCAACCTCCTGATGGCAGTGGTGCGTGCACAACGCACCCGACGTACAAACATTACTCACAGCCTATGTCCCCCCTCTACCTCGCCCCCTTGATCCAATGACTGACCGAGCCATAGCACGCCTCGTCATGCGAGTGCATGGGGATGATGGGTGTTAATAGTTCCTGAATCACTTATAAGCTCTGTAACTTTACATAATTTAAACTTCTACGTAACCGTTTTGGCCTGATGAAGAGTTACCGAAAACACGTTTGCCAAAGTGACTTTTCAATTGTAACATGGGAATATTGGCTGAAATTAGAAATATGTTTGCTGATTGTTGCACTGTGAGAATTCCAAAAGCCCTCTCAAAAGATCCTACACTGAGGGTAGTGGATCACTGCAGAAGTCCTTATAAAATGTATAGTAAGGGAGAAAATAGACTGGCTAATAGAAAGTATTTTTAAGAGATGGTTCCATAATATGACCTTGTCTTTCTCGTCTGGGGCTTGCTGGTTCAGCACTGTTTTTTCATTTCAGGTTGAAACCATAGGTGATGCGTACATGGTGGCCTCGGGGTTACCTATCAGAAACGGCAGGCGGCACGCTGGTGAAATCGCCACAGTGGCTCTGGAGCTACTAAGTGTGGTTGGATCATTTGTCATTCCACACATGCCACAGATTCCCATTTTGCTCCGCATTGGAATACACTCTGGTAACTCGCACTGCGCTTGGTGCTCTAGTGTACTTTGCGAAACCACAAAATCGAACCACAGGTAGACATAGGCCTAGATGCACCCTAAACAGTTTTGGAAATTGTTAGTATTCAGATGTCATTTGTTGCAACGCTTTGGTGTGAAGGACCTGGACACTGAACGGTGTGTTAATCAATCGCCTTTTGTTTTCGCACGCCCTGCGCATGCTGATTTTCAAAAGCCGAATTATTTTGTGTATTTCAGACGTATAACCATGACTCCCTTCACATTCATCGATTGGTTTTACAAGACAAGCTGTAAGAAAAAGCAGGAAGTCGTATTTCTGATACGCCAATCTAATAGTACAATGTCTTAATAAGCACTATATATCTCACGCGAACGATGAACCCGTTGCGAATTATGATGTATTATGCTGACTCCGTAACTTCCTTTTTCTGCCATAGCCGCCATTCGGTTTAATTCGTTTAATCAAAATCACGCCATAATCAAGCGTTTGGTCTCCCGCGCAGACTTCAACTTGTAAATCTGTACTCAATAAATTCTAAAAAAGATATTTGTAAAGGGACATGCAAAAGGCTTTAACACCTAAACCGATTCAACTGAAAAGAAATAAAAATTTAGCTTGCATACCCAAATTAGGTCAGACCGTAACCTAGACTATTTCGCCAGTATTCTATTGAACACAGAAGCCGACGAACAACACCAGGTCTTCAGGCTCCCGCAAAATCCTATCTGAAACCTGAGTCCTTCGTTTAGGACGGTTGAACAGAGGGATGCAAAAATGTAATTTTTCTCCAAGGTACTGGACGTCATTAAAGTGTTTAATCTCTCCTTAAAAAACCCTTTCCCTCTTTAACTCTACATGCGACAGCCCGAACTGAGTCTTTTTTCGCTAGGACGATCTAGCTTTGCTTTTATGTGCATAAACATTTTAAACCAGTCTTTAGCATCTTCCTATGGTTGTTTAATCCTATCGTAGAAGCTCAAAAGGCTCTGAACTAATCTACGGACAAGGTAAACCACTTTCAGCCGTTCATTTATGTTGTGCAGAAGCAGAACTTCGTTTTACATTTGAAAATATGGTTATTATTTTCGCCCTATTCTCCGTAGGCGCCTGTGTTGCTGGAGTGATCGGCCTGACCATGCCGAGGTATTGTCTGTTCGGTGACACAATTAATACTGCATCCCGGATTGAGTCGTCTGGAGAAGGTGAGCATCTTCGCAAAAGACTTTTAAAAAAAATGTTAGATGGAAGTTGGAAGTGCATCTTTCTATGGCTACTTTTCGTATGTCGTCGCTATGTACACGGAGTAAAAATACTATCCTAAGGCAAATAGGCGTTTTAATTTTATATTGCTAACTTACGCATTTGTAAATGCTTTATAGGAGGCATATGGGTTTTAGAAATTGTGAGATATTAACTCGCAATTCCGTTTTTGATGTCACTCAAAAATACGACTGACAAACTACGGACACCTAGGAAGAAATTTGGCACCGTCTACATGCTTCAATTAGAGCTCGAATCGTTCCTATCTTGTACCATGCAAAAAATGAACCCCATTTTTTCATTTCTTTGGAATGTTAAATTAACGATAACTCCTATCATGCAGGTTTATCCATTAAAATGATGTAATGACCAACGAAGAAAACGATTTTTCACTCAGATCCAGTTGACTGGCTGCTTGCATGGGCCTTGAAGCAGAAAGATGTGTGCAAAGTACTTGAGTATGGAATCTCGTTTAAGCGTAATTACTGAATTTCATATTATAACTGCGGTTGAAAGCATCGGTCAGTTTTGAAGTATTTAACGACTCGCAATATCAGAAAATTATGCTCTCTGGAATTCTGCTTCATCTTGTAGGGTAGTCGATTGCCAGAAAATGTCTTTACCGTTTTCGTAAAAGCAAGATGAGTAACGGGTCTTTATACGCAAAGTCTATATTAAACTGTTTAATTATATCGTGGTCAAAACTATACATTTTTATTTATATAAATTACAGTAAATTTGCTAACGCATAAAGTGTTAACTAAAGTTTTGCAATGCGTTTCCGACACTAAAAGCTAACTTAAGTAGGATTATAGTATTAATCACCGTTCAGCACAATTCTAAGATACTTCAGGTACGTCTGGATGCCAGCTCCCGAACGAATTTATTTCCGGTCGCCTAAAAAACCATACTCTGAAAAAATGACCACTTAAAGCGAATCCTATATAGTATTCTTTGAGTAACGTATAGAAATATATGATTTGTCATAAACTTAGAATAGACAGCTTGTAGTTTTGAAACCCTGAATTCAAGTGTAACTACAGGCCGGGTTCAGAATCTCCCAGGAATCAGAAAAGCCCTTTAAAGTCGAATTATACCCTTCTTTCAAGAACGAAGAAGACGTAATTTTCTACAGCACAAATAGAGGAATGAATATTTTATGCCCGTTTTCTTCGAAGTATATTTAAATTAATAAGGGCATCAGAAGTCGATTTAAAAAATCATTCTAATTAAGTGGTCATTTATTAGAGTGTGGTTTTTGCAGGCGGCCGGAAGGAAGTTTGCTCGGAAGCCGGCATCCGGAAATACCTGAAATATCTTACGATTGTGCTGCACGGTCATTAATACTACAACCCTACATAAGCTATCTTTTTGAGTAGGAAAGGAATTTAAGAATTTTGCTTAGCGTTTCATGAGTTAGCACGCCTACTGCAATTGCCATCCTTCACTCAACATTATTTAACTCTACCCCCACGGTGTTGGTTTTATTTTTGGCTTCATTCTCGTTGCTCCAAATTCATTGGCAACATTACAACCATGCTTTTTTAAACCCTCAGTACTATGAGAAAGTCCAGAAATTTTAATAGGATTTACAGAAAATACATGAAGCGATTAAAAAATAACATTGCAGTACACCTCAGTGCTGTGAGAAACTCCAGATCTACTGATGTGTTTTTGCAAACGACGTAGAAAGCCTGTGAAAGTACGGTGAGTGGCTAAAATTCTGAAATGCGCTTTCGATTAGGAAGGATTACTTAGACGCGATTATAATACTGAATATCTTGCGACATAATGCTATAATCTTTTGCACTCGGCAGGACGCCAACCTTTGAATGCATTGCTTTTCGATCTCTTGTGGAAATCATTCTCGTAAAAAAGACGACTTAAGTAGCACGCATTTTTCAAACGGATTTTCTGTGGTCTTGCAGATTCAAAAATAATTTATAGAAACCGCAAACAAGAATATGCATTATTTAAGTCGTTTGATAGAGAATCACGTCATCTTGGTATTTTCTACTCGAAAGCATAAGGTACGCCAGAATATTATTCCCATGTACGCACAATTGGAAGTTAAAAACGAGTTTAAATCTGTTCTCTCACAGAAAGAGAGGCATTGTCTTATTCAGAGAGACCCACGCCGCTGTCAACGATTTTCATCATCGGGATTATCGCAACATGATTAGTTTTGTTAGCAGGACACTTTGCCTTCAGAATGTGAAGCATTTAGGTCATTTTACGCGCGCCATCTTTTTATATGCTTTTCAAAGCACTGAGAATACATGTCAGTCCTTCAACAAAGACAATACTGGACGAGCTCAAAGGATACAAACTAGAATACCGTGGCAAGGTGACTCTGAAGGGTCGAGGCGACGTGGACACGTATTGGCTAGTGGGAAAATGGGGTTTCAAGAAACCAATAAAAAGGCCCCTTGAAAGTGATGGGTAGGTATTGTTATACTTGATATTGTTTTCTATTCAACTCTCCCACCGAATTGTTGTTGAAAGAGCATTAGTAAATTACTGAAGAAAGCACGGACCTTGGGGAAAAAGAAGTTGGGAATGGGCATTAGTAGCACACTTCCAAACATATACAACCCAAAACTAATGCTGTACAATTCGAAATGGCTGGCTGGAAACCCATATGAAAAAAGCCAACGGGTAAATTATGTTCCGGAACAATGAAATGGACGAGTTCCATCAATGCCCCACTGGAAGCGCGCAGCGCCTACTTGGACGTGATTTCGTTTGTTGCAAAGCCGATCTACGATACATCTACCACGCAAGCCTTTCACATTCTGGTAAGTGGACAAGCTCCCGAAGACACAAAGAGGACTTCGACACAGTGCCTAACAGTCAGAAACAGTCTGCGTGTGCGTGCAACGTACCAAATGTTCCCTGGCCACTTACGCACGCGGTACTTCACTGTGGAGTCCCGGATGTCGCATACACTAGTTTCATAAAGATCACAATGAGAGAGGGAGACATTGTACTCCGGCTCTCAGTCCTAAATAGAACAAGTAACAATACCAAATGTACGGAAAGTCTGAATCGTCGGAATGAAGAAGGCCATTATACGTAAATCGGCTCTGCGACACCAACATTTTCATTCTGACTGGTACACTGACTAAACACGCTAATTCCTGAGGTACAGAATGCCAAAATGCTGTAACGGACGAACTTCCAGTTGATTTCTATGTATAGCCAATCCCAGTGACCAACGTCACATGTACCTTACCGACCGGGTTATTCCTGACCGTAGGATAAGGAACCCCTAAACCCTGTAAACAGCGATCGGTGTATCCAGGAGTTGGGATAACTGCGACTGCCATTCCAGAGGATTGTGGGCATATACGATTTCGCCTTTCTATCTTCCAGAAGAACGAAGTTTTTAGTGATCGGTCGGAATTGTTTGGTCCAGCTAACCGTTCGATATTCGGGTAGTGAAAAGGACAAACATACAAATCCTGTTGGACGCATGGCATTTGCACAGAATTCACTAAATATAGGCACTAAACACGCATGGAATGACTTCTTTAAATGAAGACGAAGACACAATCACTGGGAAAGTAGATTTATTGGCCTTAGCTTTAGGACTCGAACTGGAGTCGCCTCTTCGAACGGCCCGTTTGTGCTCAAGTATCCGTGAGCTGAGACGTCGTCCTGTTTGGCCTGTGTAGTGGCAAGTCCAGTTATGGCAAGGGATTTGATAGACTACGCCCAACTGTTCACCCGCGTCCAGCCGATCTTTCATTTTCATGATCCTGCTACGCATGGTAGTCGCCGGATAATGGGCGATGCCCACGCCTAGCTCTGACGCAATGAGTTCTGTAGCCTTGGACACACCAACAATTTGGTCCGAGAGTCACTCCACAAACATCTCTATCGGCTCTGTTTACGCAGCAATTTCAACCGAGCTTACCCACAAGCTGAACTGTATGTTGGAAGTCACAATCGTCGCGGAGACATTTTTATGTAAACTGAGGGAGTAATAGCTGTGCACAACACAGACAAACCTAGTTAGTCGGACATATGGTAAGCTGTCACCCTAGGATGTAGCTAAGTTTCTCGGAATTTCATAGTTTCGTACTGATCTGATGGTCACACATTGGGCCATGAGAAGCAGACCGTATTGCCTTTTCTGAACCGGTATTTTCTCTCCCTCGACCTCGGCAGGTTTGTTTACTGGTTACCTTTACATAAAGTTTTTCTAATTGAAGGCACCAGTATATTTTGGATCTGCTGCGGAATATGCCTCTGTCGGTGGATGGATGCGCCGCGAAAAAGATGGAGGAGGAAAACGGGCATCCGGATGTTCCACATCGATCTTTATCCTGCCCGGAAGAACAGGTTGGTCTGGATTACACGTGCTTCTTCCAGTCGGGCTCAAAACCGCCGGAAAAATCGCGACACCTGAAAAGTCTAAAATCGAGAGAAAGAAAACGGAAAAGTGACCGGAAGCTTAAAATGCAGGATGGTCTCGAAGGCGGATCAAAGCAAAGATGCGGACAACGTAAACATCCTTGACCATAAAAATCTCTATTTCCTCCCCGAAAGCATCGTCATCAGACTGTACCATTGTCATACAGCTTGCTTGTCTAGACATTGTCCTCACAGGAATGCGTAATTTTGCTTAGATTGTTGATCAAATCAGAGATTCAAGCGTAAATTCTGGCGTCTTTGTGAATGCAAACCCGTCTATAAATAAATTGTCTGCGGTTACACTTTCTGTGTAGCACAATTCGTATAAATAACGAAGGGCTATCAGCATAAAAGAGTGGATAGTGAAGATGTCAGAGAGAATTATGGTATCGCCAATAGTAAGACCGCAACCGTGGGGTCATGGAGTGGAGCTATCTCGTCCCGGGGAAATCTGACACGGCTTCTGTCGACAGCCACTACTTTAAGGTCGATCCTGGGAATCATTGCATTATACATATGATGAGCTTGGACAACGTCAGGCTACTTCATTCTGTCGACATTGTAGATTGGATTAAAAGTTTCCTGTCATGCAGACTCCAAAAAGTGATCATTTGTACCACTGCATCCGAATGGGTGCTGGTAAAGAGCGGCGTTCCGCAGGGCTCAGTCTTGGGTCCTCTACTCTTCCTCATCTATATAAATGAATGTCCTGCAGATCTTGAATGCGATGGCATCATGTTTGCAGATGATATAAAGATCTGGAAAATAATTAGCTGCGTTGAAGACGCGCAGAAGCTACAGGAAGATGTTACTAAGCTGGCTGCGCGGTCCAGCAAGTGGCTTCTAACGTTTAACGTATCCAAGTGTGTAGTCTTGCGACTAGAATCTGGACGGATGCGCTTCCCAAAACATCAGTATACCATAAGTGGGGTTCAAATAAAAGAAGTGGACACGCACAAAGACCTAGGTGTCTGTACATGCTCAAACTTGCTGCCCTCCCAACACTGCAAAAGAGTCGTCCAAAAGGAAACCAGCATCATGCACTGGATTAGGCGTGCCTTCAAAATCTTTCCTCCAGAACTCTTCTCACAGATATTCGGCACGTTCGTCAGACCGCACTTGGAATACGGAATGCCATCATGGATTCCCTGGATGAAGAAAGACAGTGATGCCATAGAGCAGGTGCAACGACGGGCCACAAAACTGGTGGACGGTCTCAGGACTCTGTCCTACCCAGAAAGACTGATCCAGTTAGATTCGTTCCCCCTTTCCTATTCACGAATGAGGTGTGACCTGTTTTGGACATTCTGCATTATCCACGGGCACGAATGTTCGCTCAGAACTGACAACTTCTTTGAATTCCCGACCACGAGTCACCTGCGCGGTCACCCGTACAAAGTCAAGCGGGAGCGTACACGCCTAGACAATCGGGAGTTTTTCTTCAGCCAGCGTGTTGTTCGACCCTGGAACTCACTCCCAAGTGAAATAGTGACATCTGATACAATGGCTGTATTCAAAAGCCAGCTGGATCGTTTGATCTTTGATAAACGACGACTCTCACAACAGGACTATCTGCGGCAAGCAATAAATTTCATGTCTTGATTTCATTCCTACTTAACACATCCCTGAATTTTAATGAAATTTCCCCTCTCAAACTATGCAAATGACTGCACTTTATGCTGATTGTATATAAGTGCACTTAAAATCTCATACGTACACTGAGAAGACCGCCTGCCGCACCCTTCGCAGTCCCGCACTGTAGAAACGTTTTCCGTAAACAAATATGTTACTGACAAAGTTTGAGTAAGGTGTGCATTCAACATTTATATTGTATTATCTTTTTCAATAAGGTCATCAAGGGCGTTGCCTATTACCCTAAAATATACTATTATTATAATTATAAAAGTTAGTTTCTGACATCATGGTCGTGCCGGCGCAACCAGGCTCAGCTGGTGTCGCCTAGGCTAAATCATCTTCTGTGGGCAGGGCATGTGCGGTAAAATATACTCGCCAGCGTACTCTCGTATATTATTCATCCAATAGCATCGATTAACCTATTATGACCGCACATTTAAAATCCGCGCCTACAGCACCCCACACACCCTGAAAACTCAAATACCTTTGGAATGAAAAGACAGAAGTTTGTAATTGAAAATAATAATGCAATATCAAGGTGCAATTAACACCGATTTAAGCGACCAAATATGAAGAATAATGTCGAATCTAAGTTTTGCATGAGAAGCAAATTGTACAATTGAAAGTGTTCTGGCGGCCGTTGGCGATTGACTTTTCGCACACGATACTTATGGCAGAAATATCCACAACATCTCATTTGGATGTTTTAGGTAAAAGGGTGAAAATTACTATTGAATTCAAAGCGCGAGCGGAGTTCATATAACCCATAATTTCAGAAGAAAAACTGTTTCGCTAATGGAAATGGAGGCGTAATGGAGGTTTATCTGGGGGATGGGGTGCTATGCTACAGACAGGTGAGCAAGAAATTGCGAAGCGTCATTACAGTGTGCAGGGATGGTAGGTTGTGGCAGACCTAAGAGGGGACCGACTGTGGGGTGGGAGGACGGCATCACAGTGTCCGGAACGAGATACTGATCAGGGTGAACGGCGGCTGAAACTAAGGGGATTTAGAACGTGTGCGCCACAAGAACCCTGACTGCGTACCCTAGAGATGGATTGGGGAAAACATCGAGCCCGGTAAAGGCCTTGACACCTAGTGTGAGAAAATCAAAACTTACGATAACAAATCACAAGGGACAAAGCCACTCACAGAGGCGAAAATGTAGGCGGACAAATAAGAATGGAGACGATTACCTGAGGTTCCGATGACCCTTTATCTTAACCATGGGGATGATTGCTAAGGAAGGCCGAAAGATATGAAAAGTTGGCCGAGTCAGTATTTATATAATGGCGCAGTGGTCCCTTAAAAGCAGAAAAATTATTTTATAGTCCAATGAAACTTGGAAGGTTATGTCAAGTGGAGGTAGGACTGTGAGCGAAGAATAGAGAATGCGGGGGGATAGAATCGAGAAGGAATTACGAAAGTCATATAGACGGTTAATATGTGTGACAGCCGAAATCAGAGGAAGATTTGGATTAATATTAACGTAAAAAGGTGCAGAAGCCAACATCTAATCTCCGATCTCATACAAAAATGTAGGTTAGACAATCAGAATTTGTTTACGTGAGGAACATTTTGATGTGTGTACTGTAAGTTTTTTGGTAAATATCTTTAGACACTTTTTATTTTTGAGGGACAAAATTCGCTCGTAAAACCACACTATGGACGGCAATATTTGAGAATGGAAGGATAAGGATACAACGAAGTTTGAGGTTAATTTAAAGACTAAGAAGTTGTAAGAAATAAAGCCGCAAATTTCGGCCTTTTAGGCCGTTTTGTTATCGTAGTTTAAACCAAAGTGCTTAATGTTGGGACATTCAGTTACGGGAGTCACGTAAAAAATCCCTAACTAAGGCAGCCTTTAAGGTCCGATACACGTATGGAGGCATTTTGGGTGAGCCGATTCCTCTAACTACGTTGAACTCCAGGCTGAAGGGACGGGCGGCTTTTGAAATCATCAGAATATGTAAAAAACTGAGCGTGTTTGTCTGCGGATGGAATATAATTAATGCAAAACAAAACATAAGTGGACCTAACACGGCATCTTAGAGGAATCCGTCATTCGTTCTTATTAATACTTTGGTGAATTGCTATTTCCATTCCGATAGGTATGACCCAGTTACAGTGTGTGACCGATCTCATGAAATATTGGCTGAAAATTTCGTAATGCGTTATCGATAAGGAAGGATTACTTAGGTAAGGCTGTACTACTGATTACCTTGCGGCATACTCCTATAATATTTATGATTCGGCAGGATGAAAGCTTTGGAATACACTGCTTTTCAAACGACAGTGGAAACCGTAATTGTTGAAGAAGACTACTTGAGTAGCATGCATTTTACGCATTGATTTTAGATAGTCTTGCAAATTCAAATATATTTTTTTAGAAACCACAAAAATATGCCTTCTTTTATTCGTGTGAAAGAGAACCGCGTCATCTTTATATTTTATACTCGAAGAAGGAGTATAATTCGGTTTTGAGAAAGTTTTCTGATTGCCGAATAATGTGGAACCTGATCAGTCCTTGCATTATCGCTAATTGATTTTGGTCTAAAAGATGCATATGAAGTTAATTAATTTATTTCATTAGAAGACGTGGTAAACGGACAAGTGCGATGATATATGAGCGGACAGTGAGCCGTCTTAAAAAATCGCATAATCAAAAACTTCTTTAAAACCAAATTCTACTCCTTTTTCGCGTATAAAATATAAAGATGACGTGATTCTCTATCACACGAATGAAAGAAGGCATAATTTTTTGCTTTCTAAAAAATATATTTGCATTTTCAAGACCATCCAAAATCAATGGGTAAAATGCATGGTACCTAAGTAGTCTTTTTCACCAAGCACGGTTTCCACTGTCGTTTAAAAAGCAGTGTATTCCAAAGCTGTCATCCTGCCGAATGATAAATAATATAGGAGTATGCCGCAAGGTAATTAGTAGTACAGCCGTACCTAAGTAATCCTTCCTTATCGGAAACGCATTACGAAATTTTCAGCCAATATTTCATGAGATCGGTCGCTCACTGTAATTCAATAAGGGAGATTGGAATTCATAAAACCTCGAGTTTTAGTGAGAGTCGTCTGCGTCGCACTTTACCAGAGGCTTTAGTAGGATCAGTATATGTAACGACCACAGATAGATTATCAATACGGAGAGAAGGGAGTAGACTGCGAAAAGTCAGTCACTTTAAGCTACTTCGTTTTGTGAATAGGTCACTGGCTTTTGAGCTTTCTCAAGGGGCAATAACGTTAATTTTTAAAGCAGTAATTCTAGATTGTGCGAACTCCCCAACACCTGTGAGCCGGGCGCATAGTGCTATTACTGACACAAGTATACAGTGGGTATGTTAATTCATAAAATGTTAATCGAAATTCTGAAATGCGTTTTCGACTCGTAAAGACTGCTTAGTAGTGTTATTATACTAATCACTCACAGCGTAATCCCATAATAATTCAGCTACTAATGGATTCCGGTATTTAAATGAACTTCCTTCGTCTTCCAACTGTAAATTTTAAGTAAGCGTATAATTCCGTTTTTAAAAGCTTTTCCGATTCCCAAATGATTTTGAGCCCGACCTGCCGTTACACTCGCATTTGGGGCGTACTTACTTCAAAGTGCATGTTTTCCGTATAGGAAAAATTATATATTTCTAAACGGTCTAGGGGGAAATTATATGGGGTTTATAAAATTCAGCAGTGGGTTTGAGCCATATTGTAAACTTTACAATTAACATTGGTAATTGCAGAAGCATGATGATTTATAGACGAGAATTTCACGGTTTAAAAAACCTTATAGTTAGAAACTTTTTAAAAACTGAATTATACGATTCTTTACAATAAAAAATTGAAGAAGACGTAATTTTCTACCAAATGAGTCAAAGAGCAAATATGTTTTATGCATATTTTTTATGAAATATATCAGAATCCGTAAGATTATCGAAAATCAATGAGAAAAATCCATACTACTTAAACAGTAATTTGTACGGAATTTAGTTCTTAATGGCGGCCGCAAAGAAGTTCGTTCATAAGCCGACATCCTGAAATAGCTGAGTTATTATGGGATTATGCTACATGATGGTTAATCTCGCAACCCTACTTACATTTTTGCGTGGAGGGAAAATTATATATTTCCGCACTATCTAGGGGGGAAACCATGTGGGGTTTATAAAATTCAGCAGTGGGTTTCAAGCATATTGCAAACTTCGCAAGCATTAATAATTGCGGAAGCATGATGCTTTATGCACGAGCATTTCACGGTTTGAAAAAACCTTATAAATAGAAGCAGTTCGAAAGCTGACATCCTGAAGTGGCTGAGTTATTGTGGGCTTATGCTACATGATGGCTAATATCGCAGTTCTACTTATGTAATTTTTTAGAGTCGAAAACGTGCATCAGACTTTCGGTTAGCAGCTCGTGAATTAGCCCGTCTATTAAATCATCTAAAGTAGGTTCTCAGGACAGGAGTGTCAAGTCCGCATTTAAACGTCTCAACAGTGTCTGAAAGTACCATCGCAGCAAGTAGTCAGTTCCAGTTTCCAACAAGTTCATTGGGCAGTCGTAAGAGACCCATTTCGTCTACAGTTAAAAGGTGTTATCACGCAGATGGTACGTGCCAGCAAATTCAAAGAAGTTATAGAACATACTCGCGGCCCCCAACAAGCTGCAAGGTTTGAATGAGGTCATCCCATAGCTGCCTGTAATTGAGCGGAAAAAATGAAGTTCAGTCAGTTTAATGTTGAATAACTGATTGCCATGATTCTTTAGCATCTTCATGGCCCTCACCTGTACTCGTTTCAGCAGTTGATACTACCTCTTGAGCTACGGATGCCAGACACACGTAACATACTTTAAGTAAGACCGAACGACAGCCTTGTTGGTCTTGCCGATATGTTTCCGATCAATTTTGACAAACGCTCGCTTTGGCGCGAACAAAGCCTATATCGCTCGTTTAACTGCATTCAAACATTGCACCGATGGGTTAAGTGAGAAGATCATCAGAACGCCATGGTTCTTCTGTTTGCAAACATATGAAGGGGCTCGCCCGTGAAGAAGGTATCAAAAAGAATGATCTTCATTATGGACCCCACTGGTACGGAGTCTTAGGGTCACACACATACCAACTCTAAAATTTCGGAGTCATCAAACAGACCAGCCGCTAAATCGGTTAAGAAAATCTTTAGGTGCGTTACTAAATGCGTCAGACCTGATGGCTCTCCAGAGTCTGACAACGTAAGGAAACACGAGCAACGCAGCATAGATTGTCGGCACAGTCACTGATACATACTAAGAAGAGTAGGAACCCAATAACTGAGCCCTGGGTGGACACCACTTAAAACGGAAGTTGGGGTTGACTTCGGAGTACCAGTGCATGCAGTTTGTGATCTGCCCGTAAAAAACTGTTTGACCCACGTCAGCAATTCACCTCTCATCCCGGTTTCAGAATGTTAGTGAACTAGACCTCTGTGTGGACCATCGCCGAAAGTCTTCTTCCTTTGAATGATAAAATATCCATATTCCTCTCGTGGCAGGCAAACCAGAGTTTTGACAGCAATTCGCTGACGACCAAATTTTTTGAAATGTCATTGTGAGCCAGTTTTCCTGAATTTCTTCCATTTTCTACTTTTATTCCTTAACTCTATGCTAGAATGGAGTTAACCAGGCAGAAATATTGGTCGTTTTGATAACTTAACCGGACAAAGACCCTGAATCAGATCCACTGGGGTCTTTTTAAATAATCTGCAGTTTTCCTCTGGATCACTCTTGAGCACACAGTTCCAGTTCACGGACGCAAACCTATTCCCCATAATTCTGAACTCTGTTTTCCTTACACTTCGGTGGCCTTTCACCATCTGTTGGTTATGACAATTGAATGGTTGATCCCACAAGAGAGTGGTGTGGCCACTCTTCTCGAGAGGTGCATTGAAATACGCTTCATCAATGCTAGAGAAAATTTTCGTGAGCACCAGACCCAGACAACTGGCCTTTGGATCTATTCAAACCTCGTGAGAACTTTACATTCTGTGCAAGGGGACGGTCGAATGTGAGGTCCATCAGCTTTCAGCTAAACGCGCTGTCATTGACCAACTTTTCCCAACCTATTGCGGCTACGTTAAAACCCCCAGCAATAAGAACCTCTTACTGTCCAGTCACTTCCAGGACTAACTCGTCTGCGGCATTCGGCTGGTTTGGTTATCTGTAAACCGTCAAGAATCCCGGGTTTTGTGACTTACTCCTATTTATGTTTATGCGAATGGATTCATATACAAGGTGAAGAGGGTGTGTGCGTTCATCTGTCAAAAGTTCTGACATCACGTTTACGACTTTCCAACCACCCAGTCTATTCCGACAGTCTCGGCCAGAGGATTGACATTCTTCCATCGAAATCTTGGCATCCATGATTTCGGCTTGGAAAAATGTTTCTGTTATGGCAACGACACCCGGACGTCTTTCTAAAACCGACTGCATGAGCTGGTCCGTGTCCGAAATGATGATGGTATTCTGAACAGAAGTCTCCTTGACCTGAGTAACTCTGCGACATAAGCGTCTACCAATTCCGTCGGATTTGATGCAAAACCCTGCTGGTGCAGAATGAGGCGAAATGATGTTCATCGCGCCTAAGTTGTGAGAATTGTGGGCTTTCTCCAGAGAAATAACCTTTGTACATGAATAACTTCTTCGTAAGTAGTTTGGGATTGACATCGTCCAGGCCGGATGTCCAGAGGGGTTCTGCCTTGAGTTCTTTCCAATTCTCCGTTCTAGGGGCGATACATCTTGCTGAAAAACTGTTTGGGAGAGGTTTTGGAATGCTGGTTTCGCGCTTGGCAGAAGCTGCGCTTTATCCTCACTCCGCATTGCGGTCACGGTTAAATCGACGCTTCCTCCGAGTTCTTTTATTTGGCAGATCCTGAAGTTCTTTAGGACGGCGATGTTCTCATTTCATTTTAAGAGTGATTTGAGATATCGCTGGAATGGTTTTATATCATGGTCTATTCTGTCTTTCGGAGTTTTAGTAGCAGACTTAAGCAAACATTTTTATGGCAATGCCGATCTAACCGAGGGCTCCATGATTATTCTTGTTATTGTTGTATTCTGATTCAGAGAGGCTTATCAAGGTAATGTTAACACACTTACTGAAGAATCTAGGTCATTTGCAACCTAGTCTTTATAGCAGAGCTCTGTGAGTTCTTCGTATAGGAAGCAGAATGTTTTAAAAGACATGTCAGGAGAAAACGAAGGTTACAAAGGTGAGACGAGACAGAGGATGTTTGTTCAACTTCGTCCGATTTTGCATCCCTTAGACCTATCTCAGCATTATACTAGTATAGTATACTAAACAGGAAAATTCAGTGAATTTTTCATCAGCTGTCTTCACTAACGCACTTTTATCTGTCGCGCCGTCATAAAACCGTAATGTAAATCTTGCCAACTTCGAGATTAGAAATCAGGTTTCAGCAAGCCTAATTCACGAAGCCCGTTCATGGTCTGCAAACCCATCTGCCTGTTTATGACATACGAGAGACGTGAAGAAGAAGGAGACACGATCGCTGGGATAAGAGCTTTATGAGCCTGACGTTTCCGGTTGCTGCTCGAACCCATCATCAGAGATACACCTGTCAGGTTATCATTTGAAACTATTTTCGACGACTACTTGATGAACCTTCCGTGTGAATGCCAGGACAAGACTCTCCCATCCTGTCAGTAATACGAGCTGGTTCTGCAGAAAAATATCTGGGTCAGTGCTGCGTAAACCCAGCTCAGTAAAATCCATTTGCATCGTAAATAAGCTCTGTCTTCTCGAGGTTACGACCATTAGTAATTTCGACAGGCGCTCGGTCGTGTGAATCGAGAAAAGACTTCTTCGCGCACATTAACCTAAGGTAGGGTTTTAATTTCTGGCAAAAACTTCATACTGTAATTCGTACAACGAAAAACATCAGAATGTTGGGTGATCAACAGAATAACCTAAAGTTGAAGAAGGAGACACGATCGCTGGGATAAGAGCTTTATGAGCCTGACGTTTTGGGTTCCTGCTCGAACCCATCATCAGAGATGACAGCAGATACGGGTGATTCATGCACCAGAGGATGCAGTATTTATAGGATGCAGTCACCATGCTACCACATTCCTGTGAACATTCACTGCTCCCACTTCATCCGGGATCGTTGCACGTGGTGTGTTAATTGCTTGATGGCCGACTTTCGCGTCGTTAGTTGCTGCAATTTCCTCACGTGCGTTGGATGCTGGTGTGATGATTGCTCGACCATCTGATCCACCGACCCTGGCGTTGGGAAAAGTGCTCACTTGTGCGCTCCCAGCGTGGCTAATTACTCCGTCCAGGCGAAGTCTCAGCACCCAATATGGAAGGGGAAGTCCATTGCACTTGTTAATGGACTGGAGGCCAGTGAACCATGATTCAAGTAGCCCCCGGCTCACGCAGCTGTCACGACTTGCGAGAATTTCGGCCTCGTCGAATTTGAATGTGTGGGCGGGTCTCGTCGAATGAGCCGCAACTTGAGAGCTGGCGTCATTTCTCCGTACCGCTGCAGCGTGTTCGGCCATTCGCGTTCGCAGCTGTCTTCCGGTTTCTCCGACGTAGTTGCTTTGTCTGCAACTGCACCAGATCCGATAAAGGACTCCCGTCGTTTCTTGCCGTGGCGCTAGATGTTTCGGCTTCGTTACCTAACTCCTGATAGTTGCCACTGGTCTGTGTGCCACTCCAACCCCAAGTGGTGCGAGAAGGCGGCTGACAGCTTCCAAAACGTTCTTGACATACGGAAGCGCCCGCCAAGATTTGGTGTCCGTGCAGTTAGGCCTTTTGTTCCTTTTGCGTACTCACCTGTTGACGAAGTTGCGCTGGTAGCCATTGGCTTTAAATACCCGTCGGAGGTATTGTAGTTCAGCAATCTTGTCTTCCGGCTCACTGCTGTGCGTTTCGACACGCCGATAGAGCGTCCTTACACAACTGCGTTTGTGGCTGATTGGGTGGTCTTCCTCCTCCATCGTGAATTGAATGTCCGGGAGGACAGCGTGGAGATGTTCTTGGAATGTCAGCGACTGATCCCTTTCGATCAAGACGAAGGTATCCTCCACATACCGGGCCCAGTACTTCGGTTTGTGGCCTTGGAAGACCAGCGACTCTAACCGTTGCAGGACCGCCTCGGCGATGAATCCCGAAATCTGGAAACCTATTGATGTGCCCTTCACCTGCTCGTAGATTGTCCCGTCGAACTTGAAGTACGTCCTGAGACAGAGCTTCAGGAGCTGAAGGATTTGGGCGTGTCCAAGACGATTCTCCGTTTCATCGTATTTGCTTTGTAGAAGCAGCTCGATTGTTTCAATCGTCAGGTCCTCGGGAATAGAATTAAAAAGGGATGTAACATCAAAAGATACCATGACCTCATTTGGATGGAGGCTTACCCCTTTGAGTTTCTCCAGGAATTGTGCTGACGAAGAGACCGTGGTGTCTGCCTCAGCGGTCAGGACCTTGAGACGCCGGAAAATTCATTTTGTCAGTCCGTACGTTGGAGTACCTTTGAGCGAAACGATGGGTCGGAGAGGAGCGCCGGCCTTGGCACCTTAGAGAGACCATAGAATCGGGCCGAAGCCGTATCTTGGAGTCTCGCCATGCGGCTGTCGGTCGGTGTTATTGCACCTGACTTCTCCAAGGCCAACAACGTAGCGTTAATTTCGCGTGTCAGCGTTTTTAAAGGATTAGTTGCACATGAGACATAGAACTGTCGGTCCACCAGTAAACCTTTGGCTTTTTGAAGGTAGTCTTTCCTGTCCAGTACAACTGTGGAGCGCCCCTTATCCGCAGGCACGATGACCAGGTCTTTGTCGGCCTTGAGTTCTCTAAGCGCATCACGTTCGACCTTAGAAAGCACTTCCGGCGGCCTGTGGGCCATCAGGAGAAACGACACTTGGTGTCGGATGAGGCTCCTAGACTCCCCCGTTGTCTCCGACTGACAAAGGATTGATTCCACTGCTGCAATCATGTTAACAGGTTGGGCGTCAGTCGTGTTAAATGAAGCTTCGTGTCATAAAACCTGCATCGGATCCTTCATCAGCTCATTTGACGACAGGTTGTTCACCAGTTTGTCGTTTCTGGGTGACATTGGATTGGGCATCTTTCGGAATTTGTTCTCCAGTGCTGCGTCGCGTGCATTCTCTGTTCGCGGGCTTGTTCAGTTACCCCTCTACAGGAGCAGATTTGTATCAATCTCGTCCATGAACTCACATCATCTGGTCTTTTCTTGGTCAATCCTTTGACAGCACTTGCGAAATCTCGCATGACAATCTTGGATGAGCACTCGGATCATCCTTCTGCCGTGCTGAAATACCGTTCTTCTCGCCAAATGCGTGGTAACCAGTGGCTTGTATAAACACATTTCGGTAACACATTATTGTCGAGACATCTGTGAAGAAAGCGGATCTGCGACTACGTTGAGGCCTCCAGAATGGCGCAGGTTTCCCATCGTCGGGCCGATCGGAGCGTTTCCCGCCCAAATACATTGCCAATAGAAGCGAAGAGACGGGTCCCAGGAAGTAGTCTTGAAGAAGAAGACACGATCGCCTGGACAAGAGTTTTTTTAGCCTGACGTTTCGGGTTCCTGCTCTCCCAACACTAGGATCGATGCGTCAGATGGTCGAGCTATTATCACACCAACATCCAACGCACGTGATGAAATTGCAGCAACTAACGACGCGAATGTCGGCCACCAAGCAATTAACACACCACGTGCAACGATCCCGGATGAAGGGGGAGCAGTGAATGTTCACAGGAATGTGGTAGCATGGTGACTGCATCCTATAAATACTGCAGCCTCTGGTGCATGAATCACCCGTATCTGCTGTCATCTCTGATGATGGGTTTGAGCAGGGACCCGAAACGTCAGGCTCATAAAGCTTTTATCCCAGCGATCGTGTCTCCTTCTTCAAGTCATCTTCCTGGGACTCGTCTCTTCGCTTCTATTGGCATACGAGAGACGCGTCCGAACGACTGGCGAATCAGTTAATCGAAACCTGTGTTCAGTCCATTCGAACGTCTTCTGTGATTGAAGCAAAGTGGTTCTGTGGAAAGATAGCTGTGTCATTACTGCACAAATCTGACTTAGTTAAACCCACTTTGCATGCCGCTGGGCTCCTCATTCTCTACGTAATGTGTGTCGCTAATTTCGACAAATATACCGTCATATGCACCGAGAAGTTCCTAACCCGAGTACTATTACCCAAATCTGGTTACAAGTCTCTGAAGAGATTTTGCCCTGCCATTTGGAAACCAAAAAACATCTGAATGTTGGGGGACTATATGATTAACTGAACCTATCATAATAGCATTATACATCCACTAAAAACCCGAGACACTTGTGTCCGGGCTTTTAAAAGTCACCTGTTAGGGTATCTTTTGAAACTAATTTCGACGACTATTTGATGAACCTTCCGTGTGAATGTCAGGACAAGACTCTCCCATCCTGTCATTATTACGAGCTGGTTCTGCAGAAAAATATCTGGGTCAGTGCTGCGTAAACCCAGCTCAGAAAAATCCATTTGCATCGTAAATAAGCTCTGTCTTCTCGAGGTTACGACCATTAGTAATTTCGACAGCCGCTCGGTCGTGTGAATCGAGAAAAGGCTTCTTCGCGCACCTTAACCTAAGGTAGGGTTTTAATTTCTGGCAAAAACTTCATATTGCCATTCATTCAACGAAAAACATCAGAATGTTGGGTGATCAACAGAGTAACCTAACCTTGAAAACAGCCGAGTTTCTTTGCGAGTTTTTCCAAATTGTCTACACCACGGAACCACCCCTCCAGTCCTGTTCTCTTCCATTGCCCGCCAACCAACCACTTATAAGCACAGTATTTTTCACTCCGCAGTTAGTTTTAGCAGAATTAAATAAGCTGGATCCAGCCAAGTCACCTGGACCAGATGAGATTCCAGGTGTACTCTTGCGTCAGCTAGCCGAAGAATTAGCAGATCCACTTTCTATAATCTTCCAAAAGTCGCTGGAAGCTGGCAAACTACCTGGCACATGGAAGTTGACAAAAGTCATACCTATCCACAAGCGAGGATCACGGATATGTCCCAAGAACTACCGGCCGGTTAGTTTGACATGCATTTGCGGAAAACTGATGGAAAACTTAGTTAAAAAATCTATTACATCACTCGATACTTTTCGCTGTCACATCGCCTCATTTCAACGTGGCTTCTGCGGAAAGCGGTCGTGACTCACAAACCTGCTTTCGTCACTCGAACGCTGGTCAAAGGCCATGGATGAAGGACATCCAGTTGATGTCATTTACTTTGACTTCAGCAATGCGTTCGATTGCGTCCCACATGAGCGCCTTATTCAAAAGTTGTCAGAAGTAGGGATAAAAGGAAATCTTCTGAACTGAATTTAAGATTTCCTAGAGGGACGGCGACAAAAAGTCACTGCGGGCGGCTACTGCTCAGAATGGGCACCTGTTACGAGTGGAGTCCCACAGGGGTCAGTTCTTGGGCCGCTCCTATTCATTATCTATGTAAATGAACTAGTACGAGAAGTGAAATCGGAAGTAGCGCTCTTTGCAGACGATCTTAAACTTTCGAGAGCGATAAAAGATGAAGATGACGTCAAACTACTGCAGGAGGACGTAGAGAATTTGCACGCATGGAGCGCAAAATTTTGCATGAAATTCAACGTCAAAATATGTGCAGTAATGCACGTAGTATCGGCGAGGCGACGAACAAATGCACCCCCACGACAGTATCTCCCGGACAATCGACCATTCAAAACCGTATGTGTGCAAAAAGATCTCGGCGTATTCATTAAAGACGATCTAAACGCCACCACGCAGTGTTCTAAAGTCGCTGCGCGGGCAATTTCCGTTATGAGCGCGATACGCAGAACGTTTATGCACTTGAATAAAGATGCAGTTGGCAAAGTATACGGGACATTTGTGCGGCCGCACCTGGAATATGCGGTACAGGCATGGCGGTCGTGGCGACTATCGACGAGGGGTGAGGGTTTGGGGTTATAGGTGGCGGCATGGGGTTAGGGATTAATGTGTGGGGATTGGGGTTAGGATAAGGGATTAGGCCGAAACATGTCTACTGCAGGTTCGACTAACCTCTTTTCAATTACTCGTGGCAGTCCCACTCAGGAAAGTGCCCGTACTTTGATAATGCGAATTTCGTCAACAGCGTTTTCAGGTCACATCAATTGTACCAAATTCTCAAGGAGGATGCACAGAGGAAACAGTTATTACGCCTCTGGGCATGAATTAACGCCCCTCCCTCTTATTGACATTTGAAGGTCTCAAGTACCTTGGTCTTTAGACAGACCACTATTACCAACAGAATTGAAATAATAGTGAGTTTTTTTATACTCCGCATGTTTAGCAAACTGTATGCCACTAGGTTTCCCCAAGAGAAATCATTGTGCCCGTCATAATATATCAAAAAGATTTCCTTGTGCTTACCGAATAACACAACCAATAAGGATTGTGCTGTGCCATTTGTGGACATGAAAAAGCCTGAGCATCATAGGCTGGGAAATAGGCATCTCATCGTCTTGGAGAGTTTGAGGATTCACCGCCGCAATATTAGGTATAGCACATAATTTTTATAACTCTTCTGGAAATGCTGACTGAGCACTCAGAGACCTCGAAAATCCAGTGGGCAAATTTGCGCATTAAGTAGAGACCGTCCATTTTTGGCAAATTTCACAG